TCTGGTCTCTGACCAGTAGAGCTAAAAATCAATTTCCGCCTAGTATCGAACACGCCAAATATAATACATTTACAGTATTCTAATACTTGTCCCTCTAAGCTAGTAAACGATTTTTTTGTTCGCTTCTTTTTTCCCAAGTCATGCCTATCAGCTACCCTTTCAAATCGTATAATGAATGTGTCCCAACTGATCTTTCCTTCACCACTAAATGTTTGTAATCTTGATGTTTGACTGCGTAGGTCATGGTGTCTGTCATAGTCAGTCACTACTGGAGGAAGAGGAAGAGGATCGTGAAGAGGAGGGGGATTGGTATCTTTGTGTTCTATAATGTTTTCTACTTCTTGTATTTTCATCATATTTGCTGTCGAACATGTTTGATCTTAAGTTAAATATGTATGTCTTTGGTATCTTGTATTTTGCTTTTTTCTGTTTTGTTTTGTGCCTGATTGCTTTCTGTCAGAATAATTTTTTGTGTTTATGTTATCTGCTGGCACATCACTTAACCGTTTTCTCTGTTGAGCTTTTTGCTTTCATGCAAACGCTGCTTTTTTTCTTCTCTCTCTCTCTCCATTTGCTACTCAACCCGTCTCTCTTATTTCACACTCAAATCTCTCATGCAGTATCATGATCTCTCATGACATGGAACAAATCTGACTCTAAACTAGTAGCACCCACAAAGGAAACTGCTTAATTTTATTCCCGTTTTTAGCTCTACTGGTCAAAGACCAGAAGAGCTTATGCGATAGTAATGCGTCCGGCGTCCGTCCGTCCGTCTTGCTGTCTGTCTGTCTGTAAACAATTTTTTAAAATGCTACTCCTCCTACAGTTTTGGTCTGATTTCAGTATATTTTGGCACACAAGTAGACTACACTAAGATACGTAATTCTGTATATCGGTTTTTGATTTCAATGAACGGTGTTGCCGTGGGTTTTAAAAATAGAAATTTTTGTGAAATTGTTTCAAAATGGTACTCCTCCTATAGTTTTGATCTGATTTCAATGTTTCTTGGCAGACAAGTAGACCACACTAAGACACATATTTCTGTATATCGAGTTTTGATTTCGATGTTCATTATTGCCGTGGTTACTAAAATTAGAAATTTCTGTAAAATTATTTCAAAATGCAACTTATCCTACAGATTTAGTCTGATTTCAATACAACTTGGCACACAAGTAGACTACACTAAGATACACAGTTCTGTATATTGATTTTTGATTTCGATGAACGTTGTTGTCGTGGTTACTAAAAATAGAAATTTCTGTGAAATCCTTTCAAAATACTACTCCTCCTACAGTTTTGTTCTGATTTCAATATAATTATGCACAGAAGTAGACTACACTATGATACACAATTCTATTTATCATTTTTTGATTTCGATGTTCATTATTGCCGTGGTTACTAACAAGAGGCCCATGGGCCTTATAGGTCACCTAAGCATTATGCAACAACTTTCCAGTGATTGAATTTGATTCATGTTTTAAGCCTGGCATTCACAATTTTGAAAGAGGCACCATTGATCATCATAACAATACACTTAGCAGTTGCTTTGTTTGTTTACTTAATAGGGACTGTAAGCTCGTAAACGAGAGCGCGCGAGATTTGAATACTTCCGGTGACAAACAAAATGGTGATATGCTTTGCGTTCGGATGTAGTCACCGAAGTGGTGCGAATAATTGTAGTTTTTATCGGTTTCCCACAGACGCAAAGAAAAGGACATTATGGGGAAGATTGTGCAGGTCAGTTTTATGCATTTTTTTAAAATTTAATAAGTCTGTATTAAACGAAATATCCGTCTGCAGCGCATGACTTTCAGTTTGCATGCGCCGCGATTACCAAGCTCTATCTATTCCTAGAGTTGCATAATGACACTTAGTGATAAGTTTATGATTTTTATCCTTTCACATTAAAGTATATACCTTTATCTGCATTGTACAAATGTCTGTAGAGAACTATCATACTATAGGTTGTACATGCCAACAAAAATAAAATTAATCCGAGATTCCTCTGACTGACTGTGACGTGATTACGATTAACAGATTAATATCAAAACAGTTAAAATACTGAAGCAAATCACAGAGATACCAATGTGTACATGTAAATTATGTCAATAAGCACCGATGTATAGAATAGCATAAATTGAAATAAGATAGATTTATTAAAAAATCAGGGTCCTGTGGGCATTAACTTGTGCATGTAACATATATAATTAATCCACTTCTGTTCAATGCAGAGTATACAACAAGCATATTAACAACATGCATGTTTTGATTTTTATACATATATATTTCTACTCTAAAACTATACATTTATACAAACAATCCTTTGATTTATTTAGAAGAGCTGATCGTCAGCCAGAGAATCAAAACGACAGAGTATGTTCTTGCCATTTTAAGGAGGGAAGAAAGGAAGGAGACCCTGTCTTCTTTCCTTGGAATGATAAAAAGTATATGGACTATCAGGATCCAGAAAAGTCAGAAAGGTGAGAGAGAATTTATATGTAGATGTAATAAATTTTATCCCAGTCACAAATTATAAATATTTTTTTTTATTTCATATAGTTTAAACTACAGCATGAACCTTTTTGAACAAAAACATGTTAAATATAATGCATTTATTGAATATTTATTATTTACAGGAAAAGGAGGAAAACTTGTTTGTCATCGCCCTATGAAGTCGATAACTTCAGTCAGTCCTTATCCTGTGAGAGAGAGCAGACAGAAGATGCAGTAGATTTTGATGATGTAGAACATGTAATATTATATCAATAACTTTTTAGATGTGTTTTTAAAAACTGAAATACACATGTATATAGTTGAAATACTTGACTGTAAAAAAAAATCAGGTTATAAATGTACATGTATATATTTTAAGGTTGAAGTAGAACACAGTTATACAGTCTCTTGCTCTCGAAACTGTTCCAAAGAAATGCAGCGGCTCTCATCAGAGATAAAAAAGTTGGAAGAAGAGTTACATGCAATAAAAGTCAACATGGATAAAAGAAAACCCATGACTGTAGCTGAAATTAAGGACAACGAAGAAAAGGTAACATTGTTGATGAGGTAAAATAAGGTACCGGGTATTTAAAAAAAAAATTTGTTGAGTGCTTTTATTTAGAAATTTATGACAATTCTTTTCTTTACAGATGCTGCTTTATACTTCAATACAATACGATGTCTTTGAAGTGCTTGTAAAACTACTTGGTCGATTCAGTTTAAATTACTTTCTTGGTTGGACACCATCCCTTAAACTTGAAGATCAACTTCTGATTGTTTTCATGAAGCTTAAACTAAACCTTAGAGACATTGACTTAGCTCACAGGTATATACTGGTAGTTAATCTTTTCTCTGAATAAATCAAATTCATAGTTTTCTGATCGTGCAATTCATGACATTTTTTTTTTCAAAGATTTTTTTTGAATTGGGGACATATTTTGATAACATGATATATTTTGATTTGCATTATTCAACAGGTTTTGTGTAAGCAGGCCAACAATTTCTAATATTTTCCACTCACTGGTTCATGCCCTTCATGAAATGCTGTACAAGGGGGTTGTTGATACATGTTTTCCTAGTCAACTAAAATGTAAAGGTTTGTATGTTGTGTTATAGTATGCAAATGATTGATGTACATGTATTTGTAAAATTTTTTCATTTCCATATCCTCCATCTTAAACTACTTGTGTACACATTATTTTACATAAAAAATAAAATGGTTCGATGACTTAATCTGAATGTTGTGGCTTAAATATAAGATTAGAGCTATATTTTATAATACATGTACAACTGAGATGAAGAGAATAATACATGCGTTTGTCAGTTGCCCTGTAAATTATCATGATTATACATGTAGCATGAAATTTATGTTCCTCCCATTTTTCATTTAGGCTCCATGCCAAAGGCATTTGCAGAATTCTCTTCTGCAAGGGCATCTATGGATGCCATTGAGACAACACACGATATACCAGGACATCTTGATACACAGGCTAGGGCATACAGTTCGTATAAGAGCCGTCACACCGTCAAGGCAGTGACTTGTGTAGCACCAAATGGTGCAATCACTTACTGTTCTCCTTTATATCCGGGATCAACATCTGATGTTGCAATTGTGCGTCACAGCAAAATTCTTGAGAAGTTTAAGCCCGGGGACCTGATTTTAGCCGATAAGGGATTTACAATCCACGATCAGTTACCACAAGGTGTGTGCTTGAATATTCCTGCATTTTTAACTTCAAGAGGGCAGTTTACGAAGAAAGAAGCAGAACTATGTTATAAAATAGCGAGAGCAAGAATTCACGTGGAGAGAGCTAATGAGAGAATTAAAAACTTTGAAATACTTCGCCACATACCAGCAACCTACAGGCCATTATCAACAAAGATATTTCAACTGTGTTCTGCATTAGTCAATTTGCAAGCTCCTCTTTTGAAAGAAATTTCATAGTACATTATATATTTATAATGTAATGATAATTTTGATACTTCAGTATTGTTCATGGAATGTATTAGGATGTAGAATGATGTACACAGTCATAGTCTAGCATATTGATTTTTGCAAATCTTACACTGAGATCTCTAACATACTGTCTTAAAAATCTGTATATTTAGCATGTACAAAATTTGGCAGACAATTTTTCAACATGTTTGTTGTAGATCTGATTCAATGCATTTCTGTATTCATAGATATCTATCTGCAGTTCTGCACAGCACATAGCTATGTACTTGATTTAGTAGTGGCTACATAATGCCAAAAGACTTAAATTGAAGACATACTAGATGTAATACATTTACAGTATTTACTTGTGCATATAATAAATAATTTAAAACAATCTACACAGTGAGTAAAATTTTATTTATACATTGAGAAAATTATATTGTATAATATAGCCCAATTTAAACACAGGTTACTTAGCATTTACCCTCAGGAAAATTTTTAAAGACAAGCACTGTTGAACAGAAATCATTGTTTACATGTGTAGGGTAAATGCATGTTAATAAAGAGTTCAATTTATCATACTCTATTAAAACTTTATGAATGTTAGAATTGATTACAAATCAAATAATGCATTGCATATTCTCAATTTCATTCATTAATTTTAAATCCTGGGACGGATTACTCAATTTTTATAAAAATATAACTTATTCAGAACACTTTAGTGTGAAGTGTCAATAGGGTTCATCACTTCTGATTGTTTTTGATTATTACAGATATTATTTCAACACATTAATTTTGGATTAATTCAGGAATGAATGTATTAAAATAAAATTCTATCAATTGTGCAATGTTTTTTGTCCATCCAGAGTCCTTGATAATCCGGATAACTTTGCAGTCCTTGGTAGTCCAAACAATCAAGTCACAGCAGGTCTTGTTGCATAAATGTAGTTGGCCTTGTATCTGGTGATAATAAGGATGGTTGGACTTGAGGTAGTAAGAGTCCTCTCTGTACTCTAAATGCAACAACACAACTTGAATATAAAATTTACTCAAAGTTGAATTAGTAATAAGTGGAATAACGAATAGACAAAATCATATACAGTCCAATCTTGTTATCTGGAACTTAAAGGGGCCAGAAAACAATAGAGATATCCAAGAAATCACAAAATTAAACGTTAAATGCTTTAATAAGAAATTGGGACTTCCAACTCAGTTCGACATACATGTTCCCTTCAGTATCAAAGACAATAGTTGAGATACCAAGTTTGACTTCATATTGAAAAGACATTGAGAAACGGAGGTTTCACACAGTTTAATATACCCTAATTTATACCAAGTACTTACCAAGGTAAAAGTCTTTAAGACTGTGCACTGCCTCATATATTGTTAAATGTGCTGCAGAGTAAGGACACTTTACTTCAACTACTTCAGGTAAAGCATTCTGAGCTTCTGGTGTCTGGAAATTAACATCACATCTTGGTGGGTGCAGGACAAGACCATCTGGAGATGCGCCTAAAACTCCAGACTCGTGCAGCCAAATTCCTTTATCAAAATAAAATGCAAATTTATAGAAAAAAAATAATATTGCAGTGTTTGTACTAAGTAAATAGATAGTTATCTAAGAATTTTTAAGTCTCGATGACATTTTTGGTAAAAATAATTATTGAAGATGGTGCCATGGTCAATGACAAATACTGCTGATTAATTTGGATGAAATACTTAATTAAAAAATTTTTACCAGTTTGTTGCACAGAGGCACCAAAGTCATGTTCATATTTTTTCAATGCGTCTTCTTCATGTGTTATTCCCCAAGCAACTGCTTTGATTAATTCCAAATTGTATGAGGACATCAGACGTTTCTTAAGAGAAATTGTAATTCTGCAAAGATAAATGCTGGCATTTTAGCTTAGGTTGTTGTAAGTATCACATCATTATTAAATATAACAAATAAATGATAACTAATGCTAACTACAAGCATCATGCTCTATTTGGAGTTTTATTTTGTCCACATAAACTAACCGTCTTCTATTTGTACTAAGCACTGCTCCAAAATTGGATGCTGTTATCCTGTTCTTTCTGATGATTGACCACATAGGATTGTTTCTTTGACCCTTGGTTGCCAATGCTGTATTAGCTATGATATCCTCAGACAAAATCAAAGCTCGTCTTAACCATACCATTGGTGTATCAGAATGGATAAATTCTGGACTCGTCAATAGATCTTCTATGACAGGGGCAGGAGGTCCTGGCTCAAGTGGTTCTGGCTGAAGAATCCATTCCATAGCTAAAATACATGTACATGCATAAACATCCTTTTTAAAAAAATATTTGCATCTACAGTTACACATTTATAAAAAGTTTTTTTTTTTAATTAAAAAAAAAATCACAATAGTACAATCTATTTCTGTTTGTTTCAATATTACAGCATTTTTTGTGTTTAATAAATTCTGTAAAAAAAAAACTGTCAAGACATAATAATTGTCCACATCACATGTATAAACAACAAAAACTTAATATGAACTAAATATGTGACAATTTTTAAAAATTCAAATGCAAGTAATTTCCTAAAGGAAAATGAAATGAAAGATGAACTGAAAAAAAATTAATAAATCAGAATACAAATTAATAAAACATATTTCGCAAATTGGCAACATCCGGTTAAAATACCAATAAATCTGCCTAGTTTTGATAATTCTTGTTGAAAGAAACTTCTGTCGCTATCATCAAATGGTCTGTCTAGTGCACTTTAAATTCAAGAAAAATTGGTTCTTCTTTAAACACAAGTGATTAAATTATTTTTTTCTTCAATGTTTTGAACATTTTATTTCATACTTACTGATAATCAGGTTGAGATGGTGGAAATAATTCTTCCATTGTTTTAGTGTCAGTTTTCATTGCCGTCTTTGGATTTTTCAGCCATCCGCATTTCACGTCAGTTTTGCTGACGCACTTGTACCTTTTAAATTGAATAACTCACAATTGATAGTATGTCAGATTTGTGTTTCTAACATTTTTTCATGTTAATGCATTAATCATTATGTAGCAAACACAGTGTCAGTCCATTCAAAACTTGATGCATTTTAATTTCATGCTATGTTTACCATCTTCTTTCAAGTCATAATTGATGAAACCTCTTTTAATCTTCTAAACTCAGTGAGTCAATCTTAAATAATGCTGTGTACATAAAGCTTACCCATACAACAATGCTGCTGCAACATGATGGCAGACATATTGTCCTAAAGGACACTCACACGTTGATGAAGAAACAGCATAGCCATCGTTCAGAAATGCCTATCAAAATAAAATACGGGTTATAGAACAGAACATGTGGTTATAACATTAACAGTTAACACCCCCCCCCCCCCATCCCCCTCAAACACACACGCAAAATTTCCTGAATTATAGCTACATACAGTCATTGATACCTAAAATTACTTAAATCAAAAGAATTGGGTTTCATTCAAAAAATATATATTCTAGAAAGCGACAAATAGGAATGAAGCTACTACAAATAAAAAAAATCACAAAAGGACAATCTCCTTACCGTTACTTTGTAGGACTTGTTCTTCATTGACGCTTGCACAACAGCATTGACAACGTTTTCCTCGTTGTCGTAGAGGAACTTCAACACATGGTTACTATACACAGCGTTCTCCGATTTTCTCATAAGCTTCGGTTTGTCTGTGGTATAGTTCGCCCAGTACTGTATTGATATCGCCATTTTTTTGTTTGTCACCGGAAGCGCTTCACCGGAAGTAACAAAAAACGAGACTTACAGCCCCTATACCCAAACGCAGGCTAGGGGAACAAAAAATGCATTTCAACTAATCAGTAATATTCAGCAATAATCAGTAGTGCCCCTACCACACATGAACCCCTGACCCTTAGGCCTTGATATCTGATTAATACCACGGAGCAGATTTCAAACCATTCATTCATTTTCCGTATGTAAGTACAGCCCCCCCCCTATGGTATCCCTGACCCCGGGGCCTTGAAATTCATAATTCTGGAAGATTGGAGCCCTTGTCCATCATAACTATATAGGTAGTTCATCTGCTTAATACCGTGGAGCAGAGAAGAAAATTTTCAAAGAATTCATGTGTTTTCACTATATGATCTATAGAGCCCCGCCCTAGCAATAGAACCCCTGTTCCTGGGGCCATAAACTTCACAATTTTGGTAGATGCACTCTTGCTCATCATAACTATGCACTTAGTTAGTTTATTTAATACCCAGGAGCAGAGAAGAAGATTTTCAAAGAATTCATGTATCTTCACTATATAATCAATAGAGCCCCGCCCTAACACCAGAACCCCTGACCCTGGGGCCATAAAATTCATAATTTTGGTAGAGGCACTCTTGCTCATCATAACTATGCACTTAGTCTATTTAATACCCAGGAGCAGAGAAGAAGATTTTCAAAGAATTCATGTGTTTTCACTACTATAGTATAAGATCTATAGAGCCCCGCCCTAGCAATAGAACCCCTGACCCTGGGGCCATAAAATTCACAATTTTGGTAGAGGCACTCTTGCTCATCATAACTATGCACTTAGTTAGTTTATTTAATAACTAGGAGCAGAGAAGAAGATTTTCAAAGAATTCATGTATCTTCACTGTATAATCAATAGAGCCCCGCCCTAACACCAGAACCCCTGACCCTGGGGCCATAAAATTCACAATTTTGGTAGAGGCACTCTTCCTCATCATAACTATGTATTTAGTTGGTTTATTTAATACCCAGGAGCAGAGAAGAAGATTTTCAAAGAAATAATGCATTTTCACTACCTACTTATTTAGCCCCCCTAGCACTAAAACCCCTCACCCCAGGGCCATGAATTTCACAATTTTGGTAGAGGACTCATTGCTAATTACAATCATGCAAACAGTTTGACTGCTTAATGTCCAGGAGTAAAGAAGAAGATTTTTAAAGATTGCATTAATTTTAGTGGTTTTGGCCCCACCCCTCAGGCCCCAGGGGGTCAGGGATCATGAAATTCACAGTTTTTGTTCCCCTTTACCCATAAATGCTTTGTGCTTAATTTGGTTGAAATTGGTTCAGTGGTTGCAGAGAAGAAGCTGAAAATGTTCAAATGTGAACGCACAACGCACGACGACGGACGAAAACGGATAGCAATAGGTCACCTGAGTTTACTCAGGTGACCTAAAAATAGAAATTTCTGTAAAATTGTTTCAAAATGCTACTTCTCCTACAGTTTTGGTCTGATTTCAATTTATCTTGGCACACAAGTAGACTACACTAATACCCCATTCATACGACATGATTTGCGTACCTCAGTATATTTTACTCATATGCAAATTTACTCACATATGCAATTTTTGTCGTATGAACTGATTTGCTCGCATGTAAATTCTGCACAGTTGAGTAAATTTACACCTGGTCAGGACTAGGTGCAAATAAACTTTGGCATACATGTTTTCGCAAATTAATAGTTCATGTGTGTAAATTTTGTCGTATGAACTCGCAGCAAATTTACTTATGTATTTTGTTTTGTTTATTGCATAAATCTCCATTTTAAGTGTTGTTTCGGATGTTTATGTATTGTTGTGTGTATAATATCAGTCTGTTAGCATGGCGGCTAGAAAGCAAAACATAAAAAACTGGATTTTTTATGGTCATCTTTGCTGTACTTCAACGACAGCTGAAAGTAATATGAGTCTTGATAAGGGTACTGCTTTAAAGGATACGCCGGCTTGTTCTAGCAAAGTTCTTTCCACAAATGGCTTTTTCAACTCTGAAAACAAGAATCCACACTATTTCTCCAGTGTCCTCTGAGATAAATTTGAATTAGCAAACACGTGCGCATCTTGCACCCTTTCTGGCAATCCTATGTTTATGCATATAAATTTAAAAGATATAACTGTGGTCCAGCAAACATGTGCCTTGCAGGATAAATAAGTAGTCCCCTTACAATTCAAGTATAGTCTTCATGGGAATGCTCCGGGGCTGTGATAGGAATAGGCATTACATTAATCGCCCGGGCCCTGGGACATTACAGATTGACTTTCTTCTACCTTTATTTGTTTTTAAACCAAGGCAAGCTACTGACATATAAATTGATGCTACAGGAATTTCAACAACCCTGTTGAAAAGAAGCATTTTTTAGCATTCTCGATCCTTGGCAACCGGTCCCACCATAAATTTCTAGGGGATTCGTGTTTATTTCCTATTCATATTATTTGTTTCGTTTGATTTTTTGAAAAAATTATTGCCCATTTCATTCTCCTGGAAAATGCATATAATATTCAACCAGATACTTCATAATGACCTCGCAAACTTGATGAACTGTAGATTTCCAAACACCTAAAAGATTTCCAGTCGTTCTTTATCCTGCTAAAGACGCCATTCAGTAGATGGCAACAGCCATCTTTTTCTTAACACTCAATGGCTCTTCTATAGACTTTAGGACCGAGGCCAAGGCATTTTCAAATTTTAAACAATGATTTTAATTTCATGTGTAAATTTTTCCTTAAAGTTATGAAGTTTGCTTTTTTCCGTATCAAATAAATAAATAGATCGGATTTCCCCCCCCCCCCCTCTTTCTTTGAGGAACATTCAAAAGTTAATTTTATACCCAAATATTAAAAAATATAATTTTTTCTATACAAATCCACAATTCCGAATCTGTGGATCTCCTTATTTTATATGAAAATATAAGGATTTACTCACAGTACATAAACCTCGTCTGAACGCATCGCAAATTAACTTTTACTTACGTGTATATATTTACTCATATGTAAATTTGCACACATAAGCAAATTTTCGTCGTATGAATGGGGTATAAGATACACAATTCGGTATATCAGTTTTAGATTTTTATGAACTATGTTGCCATGGTTACTAAACAGAGAATTTTCTGTGAAATACTTTCAAAATACTACTCCTCCTACAGTTTTGTTCTGATTTCAATATAATTATGCACAGAAGTAGACTACACTACGATACACAATTCTATTTATCATTTTTGATTTCGATGTTCATTATTGCCTTGGTTACTAAAGATAGAAATTTCTGTAAAATAATATCAAAATGCTTCCCCAAATACAATTTTAGTCTGATTATAATATAATGTGGCATGCAAGTAGACTACACTAAGAATATAAAGAGACTTAATCAAGGATTATTATTCTATTTTTTGCTGTTGTAAAGTTTCAATTCCCAACTGCTACTTTTCTCTTCCTTTGCTAAAAGTAAAAACCAGTAGAGCTTCAGTCTCGACAGAGACTTCTGTTTTTTTTTTCATTTTCTCTCTGGTAAATCCGAGTTTTTACCAAGGACATTTGCATTTAACTCGTATCTTTTCCCAACCCCTATTACATTAGTTATGGTTCGTTGATCTAGGATCTTTGAAATTTTAAATTTAGGAGCTGTTTGCATATTGATAGGATCCATTGTGAAATCAGTAATTTATCGAAGGGGAGAATAGAAAATAAAATGCCACCATGAAAAAAATAATAGTGTAAACAACCAGTGATTGTAAAATGAAATAAATTGTGAAACCAAAAAGGATCTGTAAAGAAAATCGGTTCTGTTTTGTTTTGAATTTGGCACCAAAGGCTTAGTGACTACGGTAAACAATGTCAGTTTCACCTGATAAGAAAATAAATTAATAACCAAATTATTCTCGTCGAAAATGTTGTATATTTCTATCTAATTAGTACAATGAATCTTACCAAGGGTAAGACTGGCATCAACCCCCAAAACACATACAGGACGGTAATGCGTTTGAACTCTTCAGTGTCGAATCACAGGAAGGAGCTAAGAAAAGGTAACCTCTTATCATGGAGACCAACCCCGAACAGATGTAAATATACTACACAAACAATGCAGTACTATTGTTAGCTCACCTGAGCCGAA